ATTTCTTCATTAAGAGGGCATTGTGAGACAGTTTAATAGTTAAAAATAGCAAAATGTAGAATATATTTCCAAGAAAAAAATGTTTAATAGATTAGATTTTAAAAAAAAAAATAATTAAAATTGCTCCCTTTCCTGCCCTGCTCTTTACTGAGCTTTAAGTGCTAGCTGTACTAGAGAGTTTTACATTAACAGGATACAAAGTGGCACTTGATGAGCTCATATAAACAACTACTGAATATATTGTATGGTGGACACAGTCTATTCTTAGAGGATAGGAATATACTGTTCATATCAATGAGTTATTGAAGAATTTCAAGTATGCTGCAATTGATCTAGTTCAGTTTTTTTTAAACATATCACTGAATACAAATCAGAAATAGACAGATCACTGACTCTTGACCAGTTTCAAAAGTTGTTTGTAGAGTTGGTTAGCTCAGTTAGAGTAATTTTATTTTTTTTCCGCTAGAAGGAACCAGCATAGTAACTGTGTGGGTTGTACTGCACAGCTAGTTTTAACCAGCAGTGTTAGTCTTATATTTTGCAGTAGTGAGCACTGAAATATGTGCATGGGAAAATATAGTCCACAAACTGTCCTGAGGTTCTATCACATCTGCAAAACTCAATATACTTTACAAGAACAGAATGTCTAATCTCCCTCTACAGGCAAACTTTGGCAACTGATGTCTGGTTCTCATTCAGGCCAAACTGTGTTTTAGATGCCTAGGCAGAGATCTCTCCAGGGAAGGGCTTCAGCTTTGCAAGGAGAGAAAGTGAGGACATCTGAAACTTAACCTGTTCATCCACAGTCCCCAGAGAACCATGGAAACAAAACTTCTCTTTAATGAACGTGAAGTCGTCTGCATGCTCATGGAAAGGATGTAGTCAATCCTCTCCTAGTCACTGTCCTGGTACCAACTGTGTTCTGTGAGCTCTGATAAACCTCTCAGTGTGTTGCTGTGAGCATCTGGTGAAGTATGTCCCCTGCCAGCAGGCTCTAGCTGATGCTTACTGACTGTCCTACAGACACTCCTTATGTTCCCTCCTACCTGCTTGGGCAGCTAACTTGAAGGTTCTTAGGAAAGTTCAGAGCTGAACTACCTTATTTTGTTAATGTGTATTAAAAGTATATATAATTTAGTTACTTTAGGCAATGTCATGGAGTGAGGATAAATATGCTGAGGCATTAAAATACCTTGGTAATGTGGCAAGAAATAGTCAGAAATCATGAGACAGTGACACATGTTTCAAAGAGCACTGTAGTATTCTTAAAAGTCAATTAAATACAGCAGTTGGGGCCCTCATACTGCATTTACTGAGAAAAGCTTCCATTTGGTACCAAGTTACCATTACTATTGAAAAGGTTTTAATCATAAAAGCTGATTTGAGTGGCAAAATCCACATTGAATCTTGTTGAATAAACAGGATGGCACATTTGCCTAATTAATTGGAGAAAGCTGAAGAAAAGATTAAGCAAAAGCAATCAGACTTTTTGAAAAGTCTTGGTATAATCTTCAAAGCACCATTTAACATAAACTGTGTTCTTTTTACAACTTGCTCGTTTACTTGTAGCAAATACAAAAGTAATGACTGTCAGTTAAATTTTTTTGTACTAATCTGGAATAGAAAGTCATTGAGTGAAGTCATGTATGCTCTGCATGACTTGTGGACGCAGTGAAAAGAATTCTTAAAGCAGAAAAGTAATTTGGCAGAGTAGCTGCTCTAAACTCTTCAGTGCATGCTTATTACTGTTGAAATAGTTTTTCAGACCCACAAATTATAAAGCTATGGAATACATATTTGCATCATTTTATATAAACTGCTGTAATTCTAGCCACCAAACTACAGATCTACATAAAGCCTTGGAGAGGACATAAGAGATGAAAGCTGAATGACAACCAATTTATATGCTGCTTTATTCCTGGAGACCACTTTGCCCACGCAACATATGTTTTGTGCTGAATTTAGAGGCACACTCATGTCCATTGGGTTGCATTAGTCTAACACAACAACATAATTGATCCAGATATCAAGCCTATACAGTTTGAGAGAAACAAAAGAGAATGGAAGGAAAATGCAAACAAAGCTTTATTGTTTGCAAACAAAACAATATCATATAGGTACTTTGAATGGCATCATTACTGATATGGTTCTTTGGGAGTGCATAAAGTAGATGCTACAGATACTGTAGCAGTGTTCTGCAGTAGAAGATGTGCACCTGAACAAATAGCTGGGGAAGAACAATACAATTCTGTATGTCTGAAACAGAAGATATTCCCATGCTGTTCTGAGGTTTCATGTGGCAACAGAAAACAGTTGCTTTTGTTTATTTAGAAAAAGCTATCCCTAAACAAATTATTTGAGTTAAGAATAGGAAGACACTGAGGTGGAGCTCCACTGATGCTCAAAAAGCTGTCTGAGGTAAGGCCCCAGGTACCACACCTGTAATATCCCACAAGTCTGATTTCATAAAGCAATGCCAGCCGAAACAAGAGTAAAGCTACAGCTATGAGACACCTTGCTGTGTCTTTTCCTATGTTGTTGTTCCTATGCTATGCAGGAAGGCTTGAATAAAAAAAAGTTGGCTACTGAGTAGTATGCAAACTATGAATTACTAATTAAGAATCCTAATGAGTATGTAGTTTATTTAAAGAAACACCCAACCAACTACCCAGCAATGTGTTGTCACTAATATCTGAGACCAGCAGTTTAAAGTTAATCTTTCCAGAGACAGCTTATCACAGAACTTGCCTATTAGCATATTTCAATATGACTAATAACAAGTAAGAGTTCCTGCCATTAGGCTTTAACTTAACTGCTTTCAATGCAGCTCAACCTGTTTCTTGCTGGAATCCTATTATGCTTTTCCAGTAAGGTGTTAAGGCAACAACTCAGGCTTGCTATTTATGGAGCTAGTGACTGAAAATATACTCTGAAGTAAGTGGCTAGTCCTTTAATCTGTGACCTTAAAATTCAGCAAGAGTTGATGTTTTGTTGTTCTTATAGACTGAGGTGCCTGTCTGTCGCTGATCCAGTCTGGCTGGTGCTGCATCATTTGCTCTCATTGCTGCTGAATATGGTGGCAGCATAGCTCAGTGGGGACATCCACACTGAATTTACCTATATTGAATTTTCTGTCACCCAGCGTGTGTCCCCAAGATCCACGATGTGGGGCTATTAAGACTATTTCTTGTTAAAAGTAGAGTAGATTAAGCTGAGAAAGATTAACAGGAATGGTGAGGACAGGGAAA